TTAGGTAAGGGTTTTTGTCAGGAAACAGGCGTTTTCCTGACGCTGGTCTTCAGGTTAGGTTTAGGAAAGGGTTTGTAGAAAGGGGACAAGTGTTTCCTACGTGGTTTTAGGTTAGGTTAGGTAATTTTTGTCAGAAACAGGACAAGTGTTCCTGACGCTGGTTTTCAGGTTGGGTTTAAAGGTCAGGTTGTCAGGAAACAGAACAGTGTTTCCTGACGCTGGTCTTCAGGTTAGGTTAGGTCAGGTTTGTCAGGAAACAGGACAAGTGTTTCCTGACGCTGGTCTTCAGGTTAGGTTAGGTAAGGTTTGTCAGGAAACAGGACAAGTGTTTCCTGACGCTGGTCTTCAGGTTAGGTTAGGTAAGGTTTGTCAGGAAACAGGACAAGTGTTTCCTGACGCTGGTCTTCAGGTTAGGTTAGGTAAGGATAGGTTTGTCAGGAAACAAGAAAAGTGTTTCCTGACGCTGGTCTTAGTTATATGATGACCCACAACTAGAGTTTTGGTCACCTGACCGAAGCCTTCCACTGGCTTACCACTCCACCACTTTAACAATTATGGTTTATAATTTAGGACACAATATTGGATCCCGATCCTAAGACGGGTATCAAGGCACCAACCACACCTCGACCAGCACAACATATGCTGGTACAACCCTGACTCACTACCGTTATACCACTCACTAGCCTCATCGTTATTACCTCATACCTCCTTTAACACCTCATATCATAAGACTTTCTCAATACAATAAAATTCTTTCTCCCCTCACTGACAATACAACACAAAATGGCAGGTTTCTTCTCTTAACCTGGCGAAATATTACATAAAATGAGAATACTTGTGTTAACGTGTTCAGTAGATACTTGACGACCTTGAAGTGGGTAACTAAAAAAAACTATTGGGCAACTCTTACTAGGGGAATTTACTGAGAGATATATCTAACAACGGTAATATACACACCTACACCCCCCACCCCACTCTCTTCCTCTTATAAATGTCGTGATGAATAGGGAAAACTTGCGATTTGGGCTTAAATAGCAACGCTCTTCTTGCCGAATAAGACAAGCGAAAATTTGTGTATGCAATAATTTCGCAAAAATCATTCTGAACCTAACGAAAAAAATATATTTCACTGTGTTTGTTTATTACTAAATTATTGTAAACTTATCCACAATATATTTAGCTAGATTACGCTAAATTAAATTGCGCTTGTTATAATAAGGACAGGTAAGTTTTCTAAGGTTCTTTTGGTACAAAATTATTAATTTTTACATTAACATAAATGAAAAAAATATATCTTTAAACGTATAAGAGGAAATTTTAGAAAGTACTTAATATTAAATGAGTTCTTGATAATTGACCAGTTTTACATATTCGGCACGACATATATATAATATATATATATATATATATATATATATATATATATATATATATATATATATATATATATATATTACGTTTAAGAATTAGCAAGCAGGCGAAATTATTTACAAACATTATCTGGATGTATAGATTAAGTACTGTGACTGATGCAGAGTTTGCAGGTTCGAATCCTACTTTGAACTGAGAGATAATATACAGTTCACTCTCTACTTTAGGGATTAATGGAATCCTTGACAGATGGTGCACATATGACCCTCGTGTAGTCGATGGGCTTTAAACCTATTTCTGTAAATTTAGCATATACACGTTGTACACGTGTCATATATAGATGAATGGTTCAGAGAACCGACATGTTGATAAATTAGACACATGTGCAACTCAACAAAGATACCCAAGAGTTGAACATGTGTCTAATTTATCAACATGTCGATTCTCTGAACCATTCATCTACAAACCTGTCAGACACTGCAACTTCTTGGGATCTTAATACTTGAGAATTCTTCGCTTGCCTAACCCTTGGGCACGACCTACTTCCACATTGAACAAATGTGACACCACCTATGACTGCTGCACCTCTCCTGCCTACGGTATATAAGCTACTTCTCCGCACGTATGCCGTATTTTATTCAAGATTGATGGACTGAACACATCGACTCAAGGTTGAGGACTGATTACCTCATTCTCCTCCTGTTCTTCAAGATTCTCCTTTGTATGGACTGATGAAGCCACTGTGTGGCGAAACGTTTCCTCAATAAAGATACCCAAGAGTTACACATGTGTCTAATTTATCAACACGTGTCATATACATCTCTCACTGTATAAACATCAAGTTTAATGCCTATTCAAGGGATTCAAATATTTTTGGTTGACGGTGTAGAGGTGACATGCTGTAAGATGGAATTTAAATAGATAAATGTTCAATCGGACCGTAAAGGGTTCTGGAGGACCGTAGGGAGCAGAGGCGCTATGTGTACCACTAACAACAATCTTCAACACACTATGTGTACCACTAACAACAATCTTCAACACACTATGTGTACCACTAACAACAATCTTCAACACATTATGTGTACCACTAACAACAATCTTCAACACACTATGTGTACCACTAACAATCTTCAACACACTATGTGTACCACTAACAACAATCTTCAACACACTATGTGTACCACTGACAACAATCTTCAACACACTATGTGTGCCACTAACAACAATCTTCAACACACTATGTGTACCACTGACAACAATCTTCAACACACTATGTGTACCACTAACAACAATCTTCAACACACTATGTGTACCACTAACAACAATCTTCAACACACATATGTGTATCCACTAACAACAATCTTCAACACACTATGTGTACCACTAACAACAATCTTCAACACACTATGTGTACCACTAACAACAATCTTCAACACACTATGTGTACCACTAACAACAATCTTCAACACACTATGTGTACCACTGACAACAATCTTCAACACACTATGTGTACCACTAACAACAATCTTCAACACACTATGTGTACCACTGACAACAATCTTCAACACACTATGTGTACCACTAACAACAATCTTCAACACACTATGTGTACCACTGACAACAATCTTCAACACACTATGTGTACCACTAACAACAATCAACACACTATGTGTACCACTAACAACAATCTTCAACACACTATGTGTACCACTAACAACAATCTTCAACACACTATGTGTACCACTA